CTCTTTCCTACTAGTTGAAAATCTAATCTCAGAAGATGTTGAACATCAGGTGGAACACTACTAGAGGACAAGAAAAAGATAATTGTGAGATTGAAGCAATAATATTTGCTCACTTAGCACATGAAACTCCACTGAAATTATAAGAAGGGACCTCTACAGGTTATCTGGTCCAAACACCTGCTTGAAGCAGGACTGACAGGTCAGGCAGCTCTGGACCCAATCCAGTCAACTTCAGAGTAGCTCCAGGGATGGACTCTCATCTCTCTGGGCCCTTGTTCCAGGGTGTCCTGGTTCCAGCTGGGACCGAGTTGGTTTTCTTTTTAGTAGCTACAATAGCACTGTAGTTTAGGGATTTAGTATGGGATTTGTTTAACTATTGTGGTGGGAAAATTTTCCTAATACCTAATCAAAAATTAATCATAGAATCATAGAATGGTTAGGGCTGGAAGGGACCTTCAAAGGTCATCTAGTCCAACCCCCCTGCAAGGAACAGGAATATCTCCAGCTAGATCAGGTTGCTCAGGGCCTCGTCCAACCTGGCTTTGAACGTCTCCAGGGATGGAGCATCCACCACCTCTCTGGGCAACCTGTTCCAGTGTTCTACAACTCTCATGGTAAAAAATTTTTTCCTAATATCCAATCTGAATCTACCTCCCTCTATTTTAAAACCATTACCCCTTGTCCTATCACAACAGGCCCTCCTGAACAGCCTCTCCCCATCTTTCTTGTAGGCCCCCTTGAGGTACTGGAAGACTGCTATAAGGTCACCCCGGAGCCTCCTCTTCTCCAGGCTGAACAACCCCAACTGTTTCAGCCTGTCCTCATAGGAAAGGTGCTCCAGCCCTCTTATCATCTTCGTGGCCCTCCTCTGGACCCTCTCCAACTGGTCCATGTCCTTCTTATGTTGGGGGCTCCAGAACTGGACGCAGTACTCCAGGTGAGGTCTCACGAGGGCAGAGTAGAGGGGAAGAATCACCTCTCTCGACCTGCTGGCCACGCTCCTCTTGATGCAGCCCAGGATGCGGTTGGCCTTCTGGGCCGCAAGAGCACATTGCCGGCTCATATTGAGCTTCTCATCCACCAGCACTCCCAAGAACTTCTCCTCAGGGCTGCTCTCGATCCATTTACCACCCAGTCTGTATTTGTGCCTGGGATTGCCACGACCCAGATGTAGGACCTTGCATTTGGCCTGGTTGAACTTCATGAGGTTGACACAGGCCCACCTCTGCAGCCTGTCGAGGTCCCTCTGGATGGCATCCCTCCCTTCCAGCGTGTCGACAGCACCACACAGCTTGGTGTCATCGGCAAACTTGCTGAGGGTGCACTCCATGCCACTGTCCACATCACCGACAAAGATGTTGAAGAGGGCTGGGCCCAATACAGATCCCTGAGGGACGCCACTCGTGACCGGTCTCCACTTGGACATCGAGCTGTTGACCACTACTCTCTGAGTGCGGCCATTGAGCCAATTCCTTATCCACCGAGTGGTCCATCATCTGCTGCCTCTCATCTTATCACGCACCTCTGACAAGAGTCCAGCTCTCCCTTGTCCAGACCTTCCCTTTTAGGTAGCTGAATCATAGAATGGTTAGGGCTGGAAGGGACCTTCAGAGGTCATCTAGTCCAACCCCCCTGCAAGGAACAGGGATATCTCCAACTAGATCGGGTTGCTCAGGGCCTCGTCCTTCAGGTAGCTGAAGACAGTGATAAAACCCCAGTTCTATCAGATTCTCCTTGTGCATCATGCGCTTCAGCCTGCTAATCATAGCAGGGGACTCACCCTAGTATGTTATCTTTTTCCTACTGAGTTGAAAACTGGACACAGTAATCCGGATGCAGCCTTGCAAGTGCTGAACAGAGATAAGAATCACGCTCCTCAGGCTGCTGGATACATGGTGGTTCACACAGCCCAGTATGGGGCTGGCCCTCTTCCTTGCAAGGGCACGCTAGTGGCTTGGAATCAGCTGGTATAGGAACCTAGGTCCCTTTTTTCCAGTGGAGCCGTTTTCCATCTGACCAGTAGCTGGGCCTGTGCCTTCGCATGACATTATTCTGTTCCAAGTGCAGGACTCTAAGTCCTGCAAATGCTGAACTAAAGTTTCTGCCCATCCGTTTCTCTCAGCCCATCAAGGTCCTCCTGACCAGCACCCCAAGTTCCCCAGAACCTGCTGAAACCTGCAAGCAGTATATTCACTGTCACCATGGCCCTAACTGTAAGGCACAGATATGTGCACCAGTGCTTCAATCACAACATTCAATTGCAATGCAAATATGTATGAAAGTGACTCTGGCAAATCAGCAAGGCTTCAGCTATCAGTGAAATTTCAGAGCTACTCTCTATACACTCTCTCACTGTATTATTACCTTGAAATTATACATATTTAGAGAGTTTTTATGGTTATTATTCTGTCAGGTAGAAAAATAAAATTTTTTTTTGCATATCAACATCATTTACTTTGCCTATTATCAAAACATGAAGAAAGCAAAATTTTGCTCTCACATAAACAGTTGCTCTCTTCCAATAAAGTATTAAAATAAGTTGGCATGCAACAAAGCTTATTTTAGTTTTAAGCCACTCAGGTTTGTTTAAACTAAACCAAATTAAGAAGTGACCAAGATGGAAAACTAACTTGTGTTTTCAAAATATTTTAAGTCAAATTCATACAACTTTGGTATCAGACAAGCCCTTACAGTCAACATAGTACAAACTCTCTTAAACAGTGTAGTTTTCAGCAGCGGCCAAGGCTTTGGCCATGGTTAGCAACCACTGAGAGATCTAAAAAGCTCAAGACCGTTATGATGGTCATTTGCCAATGAATAGAGTCTGCCCCGAGGTGACTTTTACTATACAAAGTTATGAACATCAGTCTATTTCAGAGAATTAAATTTATTTTTGAAACCATAGGAGCATAAATCCTTACTTCAAAAAGCTTAGTCCTGAAAGATATAAACCTATAAAGACTGATCTGTTGACTGCATATCTTAGATGTATCTTGAACCACATTCTTCCTTAAATCGTTCTTTCATTGAAGTACTATCTTATTGATCCTTAATCACAAACTCTCCTACACTGTCTTGTATACACTGAAGGTGGGGAAAAATCCCCAACTTTCTGTCTGGAAGCATCCAGTACACTTACTGGGGACACAAGCAATGCACAATTTCTCACAGCTGAGCAAAATCAGCATGAAAAAAAAATACCCTACTCATCTCTGTAATCAAAACCAGAGGATCATATAGAATCATAGAATGGTTTGAGTTGGAAGGGACCTTCAAGATCACCTAGTTCCAATCCCCCTGCCATGGGCAGGGACACCTTTGACTAGGTCAGATTCCTCAAAGCCTCATCCAACCTGGCCTTCAACACTGCCAGGGATGGGGCATCCGCAGCTTCTCTGGGCAACCTGTTCCAGTGCCTCACCACTCTCACAGTGAAGAATTTCTTCCTTAGATCTAATCTAAATCTACCCTCTTTTAGGTTAAATCCTTTGCCCCTTGTCCTATCACTACACGCCCTTGCAAAAAGTCCTTCTCCAGCTTTCTTATAGGCCCCCTTTAGGTACTGGAAGGCTGTTAGAAGGTCTCCCTGGAGCCTTCTTTTCTCCAGGCTGAACAGCCCCAACTCTCTCAGCCTGTCTTCATAGGACAGGTGCTCCAGCCCCTGGATTATCTTCGTGGCTCTCCTCTGAACCCACTCCAATATCTTCACAGCTCATCATCTAGGCCTGCTTACTGACATCTCAACTACTTCTACCAGAAGGTCTCGTGAGCACCGGCAGAGTTTCATACTGGTGAATTATTTTCTGCTGCCAACAGATAGTAGAAAAATGACATACTGTGTACACTGAGAGCAGATATAACACTCTTTAGTTATTGAAACAGTTGGTCTAATTAAAATTCTTTTTTAAAAACAGTTGTAGAAGTAAAAGCTCCCTTTCTGCAGGCCAACACGTACCTTTCTGCATCATATTTAATTCAGAGTTGTTAAGACTTACGAAATTATTAAAAAAATAAAATTAGGAACTGTTACTATAATTTTCCAAGTACTGTAGGTTTACTTAAGCTAAATATTTAAAAGTCTACCCTAAGTGCACAAGAGCACCTTTAAAACCTTTCTCATTATTTCCAAAAGCCGCTGTGTTTCTACAACTGCAGCACCGCTTCACACACCCGACCTGCTAAGGCGTATTTAGTACGCTGATGACAAGAATATTTTATAATTTAAAGGAAGAATAGAGACACTCTCCACGGA